CTGGGACAGTCACGGGCTGGACAGAGCCGAGCTGAGCCCATGGGCACCAAGGCCTTGGGCGGCCACAGCTTAAGGAGGTGGCACTGCAGCCCTGGCATTTCTAAGAGACCAAGTGAAAAGGAAAGGACAGAGCTCGGCTGGGGATCTGCCATGGTTTTGCGGGCTGTCCGCCTCAGCCCCTGGACACCGGCAATCCTCCCCACCCTGGTCCCTGTGCGGGGAGTTTCGGTGACAGGTTCAGAATGGAAAGGGGTTTCCACAGGCATCTAGAAGCTTCAAAGCTGTGTGGTACCTGAGCCTTCCGCCTCCTTCAACCTCAGTTACCCTGTTCCTTCCTGTTGGGGCCCCGTCAGATGTCTGGGCCACAGGCCTTCACCCGAAGTCCCAGGGCAAGATTCACGAGTGCTGCCCGGACGCTGCAGGAAAGCAAGCCCAGGCCGAGACCCAGCCCTGTGCAGCCATACACCTCAAGCTGACCTGCCGACAGCCCAGCCCCCAGCTCCCTGACACTCCCTCCAACTAGCTTTATGCCGAGGTGTTCTCAGAGGGAAGGGAGGCAGCCCTCAGCCCGCACTGCACGTGGTCCTGCCCCTGTCCCCAGGCTGGGCCTTCCTCCCCCGCTACTCATGGACTCCCACGCGTGCCCAGCCCTCTACCGTGTGGGTTCTCTTTAGGGTCCCAGAGTGACCCTCCGTCAGCTCCTCTCGGCAGAACCGCACTCTCTCTGCTCCTAGGATCTCCAGTCCCACCGGCAGCTGTGTGTGTGTGTGATGTGTGCTTCGTTTTTAAGTTAATGCCCCAGATCACCTTTCTACAAGTGACAAGAAACAAAGTATCTCAGAGGCCTTCAGATGCTGGCATGGCGCCTTGACCATCACCCTGGAGGAGCCCGCGGGCAGCGCTCTGCAGATGGCCCACGCAGGCAGGAGCTTCCCTCTCCTGGGAGCTCCAGCACGAAGCCGAGCCACAGCCCTGCCTCCCTACACCTGCAGGGGCACCACTCCCTAAAATGGGGCCACAGGGTGGGGGGCTCTGAACAAGACGGTGCCATGAAGGCCCCAGCAACAGTAACACGCTGGCACAGCACCCTCCCCTCCCCTCCCCGGGTCCGTAGGGGGCCAGCGTGGCCGCTGCTGCCCCGAGAGTAACCGTATTAATGACTAACACTGGACGTCATGCAAGCCCACATGCCATCTGATTCTCTCATCAACTCGAAGATCATCCCTGTATTATAGATGCGAGAATCAAGGCTTAAGGCTCACTTCATCTGTCCAAGGTCTTGAGCTAGTAAACATCAAGGGGAAATGGAACAGACTCAATCAGTGTGGCGATCAGCCCGGGAAGCCCCCAAACCAGAGGTGCCTTTGGTTACACAGAGGCCACTGAGTCAGGGCACGTGGAGGGAGTACAGTGATGTCCCGAGGCGGTGCGCTCAAGCCCTCTGCTCCTCTCGCACGCCGGTGCACTCCCTGGAGTCGGGGCACTCTTCCCACAAGCTCTGAGGCCACCCCCTCTTCTCTGAGCACGTGCCCCTTATAGCCTGCCCTTCTGCCCTTCTGTTAAGAACCACCCTCACCTCTTGGTCCAGGCATGTACCACCGTCCATCAGGAGAGGGTCCGGACTAGGGGCCAGCAGCACGGGGTCAAGAAGGGGCTCTGCCTCGAGTGGTACATTCTAGGATTAGGGCTCACCTGGCCTCTGTTCCTCCATCTGCAAAGTGGGCCTCACATTCCTTGCCCCTTCCTGCCACCGAAAGCTGTGAAGGGGAGGAAGGTGTGCGGGGACATGCAAACGTGCAGGGCTTCCAGAAGGAAGGTTACAGCGGACGGACAATAAACCCCTGATCAGGAGGACCCTGACGCTGGATCCCTTCCTGGCCATTCTCCTTTGACCTCTAAGCAAAGGTTTCTTTCTATGGTAAAATGCAATCACTCGTATTTACTTCAAGTAGAAAAACAGATTCTCACATTGATGAACGACAGCAAAACCACAAAGACGGCAGACAAGGCTTTCTTGGTGACCCTCAGTGAACGGAAAGCCCCATTACCCCACCTCCCCGAGCACCCTAGTTAACAAGGCCTTGTGAGCAGCTGCTCCCAGGGTCTCCTCCCTCCCCACGGACCTCCACACGCACCCCTTATAGCCTGCCCTTCACTCGCTGCCCAAACCGGACTCCTTTCCCCCAAGCACAGCAAGGAAATCTCATCCATTTGGGACTGCATGTGTGTCCACCCTCAACGCCAGCTTACCCTAAATTCATTAATTCAGATTCAGTTACCCTAAATTCTTTAACAAACAGACATACACCTGGGGTTCTTCAAACCAAGGCCAAAGCTGCCACCCCATCGCTCCCACAGCCACTCTCCCCTTGATGCCAGCTGGGCAAGGGGTCCCCTAGCCAGCTCGCCTGCCACGATACCCACTACACTCCATCTCGGACCCGAGGCCCAGGGGCCTGCCACTCGCCCTCCCCCTTTCCCCAGGCCCCTCATGGCACCTCGAGGTTGCCAGTTTCTCCAGGCCTGCTGTGGCTTTCAGAAAACAGAGCATTTCTATTTTTAGCCTTCCTCAGCCTAATAATACTCCCCAACACCCATTCAGCTTAATCACTTTATTGAGGACAAGAAGCAGGCTCTCCAGCCCGGGGCTTCTGATGTTAGGAAGTAGTAAAATGTTCAAACTGGTTAAAAATGACACTCATTGGCTTGCCTTTGGTGTTTCTGAAACCTTAATTGTGGTTCAGGCTGCGGATCTAAAGAACCTTGCAGGTTTCGGAGTCTGTCTTTCTTACCCCCTGCACCATAATTGAGGTGTTACATTACAGCTCCAGCCCTGGTATTCTCAGGCTCAAAATTCAGAAGATTTAAGACTCCACACTTTTCAAAGCAAATATTGCCTGTCACACTGAATGCCCATTCTTAGCAAGAACCATCCCTCCCTCAAACACAAAAAACAAAACACAAAACGGAAAACTAACTTTCCTTTTCTGGCTGATCTCATGCAAAAAGGTCCAGGGATAACTATTCCCCAGGTTAAGCATTATTGAAGTGCATCTGACACTAAAAGGACATCGAAATGCTGCCTGAAAACAAGAAGGTTTGTTTGGTGTAATCAGAGGACCTGAGAATTTGGTGTGTGCAGAAAATAGACTGTTGGCAGGTCTTGCGCACACAGCTTCCAGACTGTGACTCGCGGGGCTTCAGGGTGAGCGTCAGTAAGTGCACGGTCTGTGCCTGGTGAGCAAGGGGCTGGGGGACATGGGCAGCCTGGAGAAGGAATGCAAACGACCTTGTCTGGGCGCTTGAAACCAGGCCAACCTGGGGTTTATAGGCCAACTGTGCCTCTTACCCACTGGGTGACCTCAAGCAAGTAAACTCAGTTTCCTCACCCATCGAATGGACATCATAATGGTACCAACCACACAGGGCTCTTGTGGGGACCCCACGAGGTAGGACCGGAGGAAAGCGTCATGCGCGGAGCTGGCCTGTCGGCCCCCAGGGTATACGAGCTGTCGTAAGTGCTGTCCTGGTCTCCTTTCTACTGTGGGCACCTTCTAGAAGTGTGCAGCCTTGGTCTCCTGGCCTTGCACAAGACAAAAAAGGAATCCGGCTCTGCAATGGCTAAGCGCAGCCAGGGGCCTATAGACTCAGGACGCCCTTGGACGTGAAGTAGGAAGTCCTCCTGTGGACTGAGAGCGGGTGACGGCGCCTGTCCCAGAGCAGATGCTCTGAGGGGCCCGAGGGTCCTTCCAGCTGGGGGGCAGACCCACCGCATGAAGCTCGTCCAGGTTCCCGGCCAGCTCCCCGCTCTCTCCCCGTCTTCCCTTCCCACGCAAGGCGCTCAAAGCGCCCCTGTAAACTTCCCGCTCTTTGCAAGGCGGAGGTGGGGTGCCTCATCGACTTGCCTGCTAATTCTACAATTTAACCAAACACCACACTCCTGCCTCAACACAGCCAGCCTCTGACTGTGACAAACTTTTATAACTGTGAGATGAAGGAAGGAGGCCGTCCAGGCCAGAGGCTGAGGGCAGAGTCCTGAGAACGCATGTAAGAGACGGAGAACAGGGAACAACAACAGGGCCACGTATTTTTTTTAAACAGGGCTACATATGCTCCCAAGTAGAATCTAGGCTGTGCAGGGCTGAGAAGCAAGGGAAGAAAGCCACGTAGGCACACAGTGCCAGGAAGACGGAGCGCTCCCGTGACAGTGGCATTCCTGCGCCCCCACCCCCCAGGGAGCCGGGGGCTGTATCTGGAGGCAGAGTTACAAGCTGTCCTCTGAGGGGCATGATTCAGGGCTGATGAGCAGCAGGCCAGAGGCACCCAGAGGGCAGGCTCGGCTTGGCCCAGGACCCCTGCCAAAGAGCCTGGCCAGCTCACTTAGCCAGGGCGAGGAGGACCTGCAGGCAGTGGGTTCAACCTCCCCCCTCCCCTCCTGGCTTCTGGCTGGTGGTGGGTGTGGTGGGAGGTCAGCATGTTTAAGAAAGTTCCACCATAAAGAACCCTCTGGGGTAGGAAAGACCCCCAGGAGTTGTATTGGTCCCATTTATGCAGGCCCACCCAGGACGGCTGCCAGGAGAGACAGAGGGTATGAATGGGGCCTTCTGACCTGTTCACAGGTCAGTAATGAAGCCATCGGCCTGTGAGGCTCCCAGGCTCCCCAAACCCATGCCTGCCCCTCTCTGTCCCGTATTCCAGAGCACCTGACTCTAAACCCCGAATCTCAGCAGTGCAGAGCTGGCCCAGCCGCACTCACCCAGGTGAGTCACACTGTTCCCATCAGGTCCCAGCAAGGGACCGCGGGGTCTGGGCCATTCGGGCAGAACCGCCTCCTGGACAGCCGCCTCCGAACCATCTGGCCTCTGGCCCTTTGGCTGTTCTGGCGCATATGAAGGCAACGGAGGAAGGTTCCAGCAAATCAGAAGTTCCAGGGAGCTCTCCCCTTACCTGGAGTTACCTTGTTACTGAAACCACTGTGGCCTTGCATAATTACTCCAGCAAAATCCTCATTGCCGCCGCCAATGAGCTTGTGGTGCTCAATTAGCTTGTAATAGTCGCAAGAGAGCTTCCTGGGTGCAATCTGACCAACTAATGAAAAGTTTACAGCCCGCTTTTTCCCCCTTCTCCCTGGCAAGGGAAAGAAGAATTCCAATCAAAGTGGGATGGCCGGGGCGGGGAAAGGAGGAGGGGGCACGCGACCTGCTGGAGAAGACTCTAGAAGGGACGTCTTTGTAAGGTTGACTCCTGCAGAGGGTCCAACTGAAGAAGCGCCTAACTACAGAAGCGCCCATCTCACTCCCCTGCTGGCTTCTCCACCCTCACGAAGGCCATGCACAAGGTCCCCCTGTGGCCAGGAATGGTGGGCTGGGCCCTGGATGCTTCAGACCAAGCCGGCCCTCCGTGCTCCTCCATCTCCCTCCGGGACAGGTGAGTCTGTCCCCAGCCTTCCAGGTACAGCCCTCTGAGCTGCGTTCTCAACCTGGGCTTCGTGGGGCCCTGGCCCTCATGGTCGGTCTATCTTGGGGTTCACCTTGCATGAGAAATATATACCATTCTGGGATCAACCTGAAACCTCACTGGACACTATGTGCTTGTGCTGTGGGGACCTCAAAGCGCACGGCCACCTGAAGGGCCAGCTTTTCATTTTTGATGCAGTTGTTTCTCAACCTGCAGGCCAAGGAGTTGGTGACCTCTTTGGATAAAAATTAAAGATAACATCTTTAGAACTCTGAGGGTTCTCAAGTACAAGAAACTGGGCTTTTAAGCCTCTCTAAGAATTTCGGGCGGCGGAGGAAGCGCAGGAGGAGGGGAAGCAGGTGCACGCCCACCACGGAGCCCCATCCAGACGGTCCAGCAGGGACACGCCCATCAGGATCCCAAGGAGGAACGCCTTCCTGAAGCCATTCCTCGTCACCCTAGTCCGTGGGGGCTTCTCCCTCCTGTGAACCACAGCACTGGGGGTCCATCTCTGCTCCTTGCGGGACCTGAGCACGCCCTGCCCTGCTGGGGACTCAGTCACCCTGGGCCAGACCAACAGCCCCCTGCAGGCAAGGACCATGGCTGCAGCCCCTCTGCGCTTTCTGCCAGGCTTGCAGGCCGCTGTCTGGTAACTGCTAACTGATGGATTCATTCATGAACAATTTCTCCCCAGCAGGGAGCTGCATGCAGTGACACGGAGTCGTCACCGAGGCCTCTCTGCTGCCCAGTGCTCTGACCTGGGTCCCATTTGGTTGCCGTGTTTGTCCGGGGAGGAGCGTCCAGCACCTCAGCACACGACTGGGGAAGGTGAGGGTGCTGGAGAGGAAACATCAAGAGCCTCATACCAAGTGGTCCTGCTTCACTGGACAGAATCTGGGAGGCCAGGCAGCCCACTTCGAGACACTGGACGTCTGCAGGGTCACCGGCAACTCAATGGCCCCAGTCCCCTCGGTTCCGGGATGCAGCCTGGTCGGCCGCCCCTCTCCTCCCGACACAGCGTCACAGAGGCCTCCCCGGAGCACAGCACCCAGCTGGCCCCCATGCAGGGGGGACCAGGCAGTTCTCTGCTCCTGCCCCTCCTTTCTGTGCGGGACGGTGGTAGAGAACAGGAGTGGGGAGAAGACACAGCCAAGCTCTCACCGGGGTGGGAGGCCATATCCTCACCCACTGGTCTTCCAGAAAGGCTCCCAGACCGTCCTGCCCTCTGCCCTGCAGGGCGATCAGGGGAGTGACGACCACAGTGACAGCTACACCCAAGTGCACGGGATGCCAGCAGAGCTGGAGAAGCTGATGAGCCACAGGCTTGCTCCCTGGGCCCAGGTGCAAAGCCCTGAGCAGGAGCCAATCACTGACCGCCCCACCAGGGCCCCTGCAGACCAGGCATCACAGGCCCTGTCTCTGCTCCCCAGTCGCTGAGACGATCGTCCACTGTGAGCCATTCATTTACTTAACACATATTTCCCAAGAGACTGCTTTGTGCTGGGCTTGGGGACATGGCACAGCTCGCTATGGACACGGTCCTGCCTGCGACCCTGGTCTTCTTGTTGGGACTGTGACTCCCGGGACTGGAGGGAGGTGGGGAGCCCCGCAGGGCCATTCCTGCCAGGCACCTCCTCACCCACTGGTATAAGTAACAGACGGCTGAGTTATAACCTCCGTGCAGGTGACTCTGCTACACAGTGTGGGGGACGTGAAGATAAACCAGGGTCTGAAGCAGCTTAGGGCCTAGTAATCAGAAAAGGACAGGTGGCTCCCAGCGATGACACAAAGAAGGCCACAGGTGCCCTAAGAGGGCAGATAAACAGCTGTGAGCACGGGCTGGGAGGCGGCTCCCGTTCTGCCCAGACAGACCATCCTGTGGCTGAGCCAGCCGACTGTAAGCAGAGAAGAGGGGGCCCTCGCGGGCCTGGCTCCGGCCCTCGCCTCGAACAGGCTGATCTATTTGAACCGACTCGAGGCAGGTCACGGCCTTTTCTGGAGCTGTGCGGGGAGCTGGACAGAACCAGGCCCGTCGGCGTCCTACCGATCTTTTAAAAAATCGCGTAGCTGTTGCCTGGATCACAGAACCTTGCCATTCAAAGGGAGGGTCCACACTGGGAGGCAGGTGGGGCTGGCGGGGGAGAGGAGGAGGGGATTGGCAGGAAGGGGGAACGCCCCCCAAATATGGATCAGGGCAGCTGGCAAAGGAAATTCGCGCACTGTGGTTACTTTACTACCTAATTAATTCAGTCATTTTAAAAACAATTTTATTTATGTTCCATTTACCACATCAAAAGTAAAAAAAAAAAAAAACCTACTGATGCTAAAATAATACCTCAAGGCATCTATTTTTAATCAGTTAAAAAAGGGGGTGGGGACAGCCCCGGTTTCTATACAATCTCTCCTGGGCAGACCACCAGCCCTCGGAGGGAGAGAGGGTGGGGGGGACACAGCCAAGCCCTCTCTGAGAGCCTTCCCGGCTGCTCAGAACTGAGCTTGTCAAAAAAAACAAATCCATTATGGCCCGAGGCTCCTCTCCAATCTATTTTCTGCTCAGCTGGTTTTAAATGAAGTTATTATGAGTCATTAAAACACCCGCAAGCCAGTGGAAGTCAGCCAATTACAATTTTAAATTTAGCCTGTTCTCTGCCCCATTCTCTTGTTTTCCTCTTTGCCCACAGAATGCCGCTGCTATTTCTTCCCTCCCTCCCTTTACCCAAAGAGCAGGAGACAGCGATGAAAGTACGAGTGCTCACGGCACGCAGAATCATTCATATGAAACTCAAATCATTACATTAAAAAATGTGACAACTTCAGCCCCCTCCAAAGTCAACCCAAGTCCTGCCTCCGAAACTCCACTCAGCCCCACAGGTCACAGGGCTGTGTTTGAAAGGAAAAGGTTGTTCAGAGGGGTCCTACTGAGAAACATACCCATCTGTCAACAAATCAGCTTTTCTGTGGTTGAATCCAAGAGGGGGAAACACACCCCTGACACCCAAGAATTAATAACAAACAATGCAGCTGAAATTCAAAGGTAATAATACAAGCTCTGCACTCACGCATTTCGGTCCACGGACGTCGCTAGGTGTGATGGGCTCATTCAGGTTTTAAATCTGCAAGGTAACAGTCTGTGTGGGGCCATGACAGCGGGACCGTTTTGAGTTCTTCATGTAACTGCTTCTTCTCAATCCCTCCTTCTCCCGCGTGCACACACACGCACACGTGTACATACACGTGTGTACACAGAGCTGCCCCACATTTCTGGGAACATAACTGAAGCTTTTCCACACCCTCTAAGGAGTTAAGTGTCCTGCCCAAAGAGTTGCCTGACCCCACTTTACCCCAAGTAACGGGTGAGTAGCAGCTCCACAGAACAGGACCTAGACCTCTGCATACACTCCCATCACACCTCCAGGACGGTTCCCGCATGGCTCCCGCCAGGGCGCACGCACATACACAGAACCAGTGCCCTGGCCCGGGGCCAAAGGCGCAGACCCAAGCAGCCGGAGATGGAGCCCCTGGGCGAGGGTGGAGGTCACGCCATCTCAGCAGGAGTCCCTGCGGGCCGGCCTGGAGGCCAGGACGCTCTGTGTGCATCAGTCTAGCTGGAGGCTCTGGGAGAGATGGACCCAGGCTGTATCCCTACCAACCAGCCCGCTGAGAACAGAGGATGAAATACAAAGGGGCTCCCAGTGGCCGGCGGCGGGGGATTCACGCTGCCCTCATGGAATGCAGACCTGAGCCCGGTGAACATGGCTGCCCCACGCTCTCAGGGTCCCCAGGGCCAAGCAGACATCGCCACCCTGTCCACGGCCTTGAATCTCCCCACTCAGGTGCTACAGCTGTGGGGTCCTCGCCAGCGGCGGCCTGTCACGGCGGCTGAGGCCTGTTCTCCCTGAAGCTAATACAGATGAAGCCTCAGGCCCCTGCCTTGCGTGGGCCCATTCTTGGGGTGAGGGGGTGTCTAATGTCATCTTTTCTGGGAGGGGACACCCAGATCTGTGCAGGCCCCAGGCCCCACCAAACCGATCTACCCCAGAAACACGAACGTGTTGGTAGCAGGACGGTCGCCTACTCCACAAATACTTATCAGAAGCCTCCTCCGTGCCAGGCACAGCCAGGCCTCAAGGATATGAGGTGTAGAAAGCGCCCCAGCCACCGGGATCCGCACTCAGGTGCCTGGTATGGGCCTCAGCAGGCAGTGCCAGCCAGGCGCACTTTTCGGTGGCGAAGTCCAAGAAGGGCCTTGCACAACCTAGTCCTGCTCGCCCACTTGCCCACGCTCAGCTCAGCCTAAGAAAGTGTCCAGGGACCTGGAAGAGCCAGAGCCAAGCCAGGAAGTCCCACTATGGTCCCCGGACGGCAAGGGCCGGGCACTCACGAGGCTCCAGGTGCCAGCGGCTCAGGAGTGCTCCCCAGGCCTTCTGGGCCAGACTGACATTTCGTGCCCCATCCCAGCCCCACCCAAGCTAAGAAACGCTGAGGGTGGGAGAAAGTGAGAGGGAAGACCACCGCGACGGGCGGAGACAAAGACAGATGGAGGTCTGAGAAGGAAGATGGGAAAGACACAGGAGCCTCGGGAAAAGGCTGAGGCCAACACGGACGCAAGGGCAGAGACGCAAAGATGGGGTGTGATGGGGAGACACGGGCAAGTGGCAGGAGAGGAGAGCCAAGCTGAACACTTTCCAGCTGGCCCCCCCAGGGAGGGCTCAGGGCTCAGGAGGGCAGCCCAGGACACGGGGGCCCGGGCACAGCTGGCTGGAGGCGAGGAGTCCTGGAAGGATGCGTCCAGGGAAGCAAAGAAGGTGAAAAGGCTCTAGAACCAAGGGGATGCACGTCTAGGTGGGTCACACACAGCCATCCCACCCCCACCCACTACCCACTCATCCTCAGGTGGAAACAGGCCAGCAAAGCAGCCCAGACCTTGGGCAGGAGGGAAGGGGCAGGGGAGAGGAGAGGAGAGAGCACAAGCTCAGCAGCACAGGCGCGGGGTCCGCATCCACCTCTCCAGGGCCGGTTCCCGGGCGGCATGTCACCACCCAGCTCTACCAAATCACAGGGAGGTACGACAGCGTGTGTGTGGGGAGAAACCATCCTATTTGGGGATGAAAAATCAGAGAAAGAGAGAGAGAGAGAGAGAGAGAGAGAGAGAGAGAGAGAGAGAGAGGGTTATTGCATAATTTCCACTTTCCTCCACCCTTAAAGTAATGTTCTATCTGACAGGCTCCTCTCTGGTGGGGGGGAGGATGACAAATCCCATCCAAAATTCAACAGCCTGTGTTCTGTTCCGAGAGCACACAGTGTACTGTACAGCCCATAAAACTCCAAACAGCCTCCAGACACTGCCGCAATCGTCCTCCATCAAAACACTTTGTCTTGCATACAAAAATAAGACACAGCGCTGAACGGAATACAAAATCAGCCCGTTACAGGATAGGAAGACTGCTACTTAGCAACGAGGGGCTCTGAAGCCTCGGTGCTGTACAGGAAGCAAAATCTGTCGAGCCTGTTGGGCAAATGATAAACATTAGCAGTATTAAAAAACACAAAAGCCATGTAAATGGAGAGACATAACGTAGAAGCAAATTTATAGAACAAATTGGGACGGGGGCCGCGAGCATGGGGGAGAGGCTGGGACCCAGAGGGGTGGATGCAAGGAGCTTCCCCAGCTCCTGCTAAGGCACCATATGGAGGTGGAGACATGTGTGTCTGGGGGGAGGGATATGTGAGCCCCCTCTTCACACAAGGGCTGGAGGTGGAGCGGTGGGAGAGAACTGGTTAAAACACTGTTTAATACAACGACCCGCAGTGAACTTTCCGAACTTCGTCCGTTCGGCGGGCCTGGCTGAGATCCTCAGGCCCGGGGACCCAGGCATGTAATTGCAGCAACAGGGAAGGGGGCAGATGCAGGAGCTTTGGGGCCGGTATTGCCCCCCCAGGGCCATCACAGGACCTGTCACTTGCTGTAAACAAAATCCCTGGCCTAAAACAAAGAAAGTTATAAAAAAAAAAAAAGTAAAAACCCACACAACAGAACCAAAAACACCCTATCTGGGTTGGAAAAACCAGTATATTTCATCAGGTAAAGGGGAAAAATACTCTGGCTGTGAGTCAGCAGCAAGGCTTCGGATCCCAGCCAGAACGGGAGCTGAAATGCAAAACTGTATTCTTCTGGTCTCCATTCAGGCTCCTGAGGCCGAAAGCGAGAAGGGGCGGTGTGGGGGGGCCGCGAGGAAAGGGGCAGAAGGGGGGCAGAAATGTATTTTTCATCAGCCAGCGTATAATTTATAAACAGCATTAAACAGTTCTTGTTTTCCTTTTCCTCTCTCCCGTGTACGGGCTTGGACAGCAGTCAAGCCGCAGTAATTTCTGCTTTGGGTACAGCGTGTTCTTGGAGGCGCATCTGTAAACCGTCATAAACCCTCCGGAATGCTGGCAGGACATTCAGGCCTGCCGGCAGGCCGGTGACGACACCGCTCTGGGAAAAGCTCGGGCAGCAGGCCAGGGCAGGGGGGGAGGCAGGCGGGCAGGGAGGCGTGTGTTCAAGAGGAGCCGGGCAAAGGGGCTTCTCTCCTCGCTCTTGCTGCCTTCTGGGCCCCACTGTTCACACGGACCACACGGACGTGGGGGCCCCTGAGCTGCTTGCGTCGGACCCCGTGCTCTCCACCCACCGGGAGGGGGGACGGAGCCGAGGAGGCGTGCCGGCTATAGGCTGCTCTTGCCCTCACGGCAGTCCAGGAGCGCTGGCACACACTGAAGTGGGTAAAGAGGGAGTGACTGGCCCTGGGTTCGGACCTGCGTGGATAACCCCCGGTCTCCCTCTCAGCAGACACCTGCCCTAGGAAGAAAGTGGCTTTCCAGGGAGAAGCAAGCTGCAGGTCTGGAGTGGCCACCTTCGGGCCCTGCCCCGCCCCCTCCAGTCAGCAGTGTGGGGGCCATGCCATGCAGTGAGAGGGGCTTTCCAGCTACCTCGCTCCCCCCCGAACCTTCTCTGTCTGGGAAGAAAGACTGAACCCCAAAGTTAAGTGTCCCTAAAAGAAAAAAAGGGGGAACAAGTACAGTCCACAGATCTTTGGTATCTTGTCATGTTTTTCCTTGCATCCCATTCCAAGGGGGAGCACAAGAGAGCCAGCCTGGTTTCTGGCCCCGACTACTCCAGCCCTTTTTCTGCCAGGCAGGTGGCCCAGGCCCCATGTGATCTGCCCTCGCCACCCCACGCTGCTGCTGGAACCAGAAAACTCATCAGCCGAAGACCACATGCCTCCCCAGTGGCTCTGACCACAGGGGAGGGTCTGGGGTCATGGGAGGTTTCTCAAA